TTTTGGGAGCTTCCTAAGTGCCAGGGTTGTGCAGGGCCCAGCTCGGGCAACCGCCACGTGTTCTGGCCGAAGCTGCTGGAGCTCCGGGAGCCCACGGCCCAGCCTGGACGTGGTGGAGACGGGCTGGACCGTGCCGTCTGGAGCCTCTTCCCCGTCCCTTCCAGACTGAAAACTTCACCCTCCTCGGAGCCGCACCCTCTCCACCTCGCGGTGGAGAAGAGGCACTCTTTTAGCTTCAAAAACGTCCCCCGGGAAGGTGGGCATCGTTCTCTCCCTCCCTTAGAATAAAGCACATGTGGCGACAGGGAGGCAGGGCCACGAAAATACTCCTGCCCGTTGCTCGGAGTCTCACCGAGGAGACCGTGGAACAGAGACGCCGCCCAAAGATGTTCGTTCTCGTGTTATTTATCATAGGGAGGACCTGTGGCCCACAGGGCGTCAGCCACCGCCACGGCCCCTGGTTGCCCCGGGCCGGGAGCTGCTTTCCTCCCTCTTTGGCCTTAAAGTTGTCCCTGCTTTACAGAGTCCCCGAGCTGGGCTTGCAGTAAAACCCGTCAACAGGAAACAGATGCCAAATCCACGTGTGGGGAAGGACTCAGGCTGCATTTTGGAGGAAAGAGGCTCAGTTGAGGCCAAAAAGGAACCAGATATAGACATCTTGGTGTGGGGTTTTTTGTGCATTTGTTTTCGTTTTGTTTTGTTTTGCTTTGGAAGGGAGCTGTTGCCCAGAATTTGATCCAGAGCATCATTCTCTAAGGTAAATGTCCTGGGAGCGACCGCTTGTCAAAGCAAGGCTTGACACTGGGGACTGGCAGACATCCCAGGAGGGAACCTCAGGCCAGGGGCACGGGCAGGACAGGCCAGGGAAAAGAGGGGGCATTTTTGAGAGCCCAGCTGGGAAGTCAGCTCCATTTTTTTTTTTTTTTTTTTTTTTTTTTTTTTTTTTTGTCTTGCAAACACACACACACACAATTTCCACCGATTGCTGCTGGGTGAGTTTTATGCCAAACAAGCGGCCTTCGGGAGTTCTCATTTAGAAAGAAAATACTGGATGATTAAGAACAGGGGTTTTTGTGTTTGTTTTTAGTTTTTTGCTTTTTTCATTTTCAGATCTGCCTCATTAGCAGCTTTTATTATTTGTGTCTATGATGGACCTCCACTTGCCTCGATTTCCATAATATGGAAACCTGCATTATTTTTGGCTTGGGGGATGTTGACGTGAGGGCAGAGGACGGGAAGGCACTTTGAAATGCCAGCGAATGGCTGCAGAAATGTGACGGACAGAAGTGAGCAAGCTGGGTATTTAGCTGCCGGGCCGGTTAATTGGAACGCTGGCTGATAAGGGTCGAATTTAGGCGTTTTAACCCACATTCGGACTGGTGTCACACTGATGGGGATTGACAGGGCAGGATGCATTACATCAAAATAACACCAGGGCTGTTCCCCCCCCCCCCCCCCCCCCCCCCCCCCCCCCCCCCC